GTGCTTTGTTTATCAGCTCGCGCACATCATCAGCTATACAGGCGTTAAAACTGAATGTTTAACGTTATATTCATTGCATACATATACTTCGTAGTAGACATCCTTAACTCCATTCTGCTGTCTGTTGTTCTGTTGTCGGTGTTTCTTTCTCTGAATATGGCACTGATCACACGCTGTGTGGTATCGGCGTTTGGTATCGGGGCATTTTAACGAGTACGAGTACGGGAGACCAGTATCGTTATCGGTGCATCCCTAATTCTTATGATGCTTTTCATTTTCACGTGTTGCCCTCTTTTATTTTGTTCCCACCCTGTTTTACATCCACCCATCTGATAGATTCATGTAGGCTAGTTTTCTAAGAGTTGAACTGCTGCCCCCTTCACTTTGTCACAATCCGTGACATTTTGAACTCTGCTTTTTATACAAAACCAGCATTTCCATTTTCCCTCTCTTTTAAATGGGAGAAAGCATGCATAATCAAGCTGTCATTGTCAGTTACCTCTTTTAGCGTGAGTGCTTCGCAGGCTTTTGGGTGGTGTTAAATTAAAGTCAGTCTGCAGAGGGTTTAGCCAGTATCTCCAAACAGAGTTTTGAGTGGAGTTTTGCCAGAGTGAGCCCACAATGTCCACTGCGTGTGGCTGGATCAATAGGATCAGATGTCACAAAAACACCTGCAATGACTTTTTTTTGTAGGGCTGAAACATTTCACAATGCTTTTCCTACAGTTAGTCAGTGTTAACTTGGTATGGTTCTCATGTAATAATATTACATAACAGCATGAATATTCCAGAGAGGCCAGTCTGATGAACTTTTCGTAGGCTGTGAACATGTTCAGTCTAAACTCCATCCAATAGATTTGTATGATACATGTGGAGATATGAGGACCACTTGTATAAAAAAAAAGAGTGGGAGAAATTGTAATGGTCAGTATGGCTGCTGTAAAAATGGAAGTCTTGGAAGTTAATATAGCCTTTTTGATTTCCTTTTTGATTTACAATCATCATGTCTGAGCAGACAATTTTATCCGAAACTTTGTCAAGATGGCCGTCAATGGAACTGACTTGTCTCAATGGTACATATTATCACAATTGGTCAGGAGAATCATTCAATAAGTGGCTTCTTCATTAGTCATGTGACTCTTTAAATGTGTTGTAGTACATTAATCAAATGGTTCTTCTCTCTCCTTTCAGGCATGGAAGAAGCGATGGTTTGTTCTGCGCAGTGGGAGGCTGACAGGAGACCCAGATGTGCTGGAGTATTACAAGAATGACCATGCCAAGAAGCCCATCCGCGTAATCGATCTGAATCTGTGCGAGCAGGTGGACGCCGGTCTCACATTCAACAAGAAGGACCTGGAGCACAGCTTCATCTTTGACATCAAGACTATCGACCGGATCTTTTACCTGGTGGCAGACACTGAAGAGGAGATGAACAAGTGGGTGCGCTGCATCTGTGATATCTGTGGCTTCAACCCCACCGATACGGAAGGTAAATTGTGTCACATGCAGATACACACCTAGGAATTTAATGATTATGATTTCAGACCGTTTCATTAAACAATTCTTTAGTACTTTTGAGGAAAATATTTGATGGGAAAATAAATCCAATTTAATTTCCAAGTAATGGAATAATAAATATATCTAAAACAGTGTTTTCTAAAGATGTTTACACGGATTATGTTTGTGAGCTCATGTGGCAGCGAAAATCACACCATGTACACCTGCACTTAGAGCCATCATAAATCCTATCCAATAACTGGCCATAATTAAATAATAACAATACTAAGCAAACAAAAATGTGGTCAGCTTTTTATAAAATATTACTGGAAAAACTCATAATGTACATCTTTAACGGTGCATTGTCATATGTACTACCAGTCAGTAACTACAGTCACGTCTCATGAGAAAAGAAACGCTCATAAGAGTCAGTCATTTGTCAGAAGTCAACTACACATCATTTGGTTTCTTTTTTAATTTTATTTAACTAAACTAATTACTGTTTCCTAGCCCCAGAGAAATCAAATAATTTTAGTTCAGTATATACTACCATTCAAATGAGGTTGGTAAGATTTATTTTATTTTTTTTCAAAATAAGTCTTACCAAGGCATCTTTTTTATTAAAAAATATTCATTTCCATTGCTTAAGAATATTATCAAGTTTTATTTGTTCCTCTGATGACAAAGCTGAATTTTCTGCAGCCATTACTCCAGTCTTCAGTGTCACATGATCCTTCAAAATTCATTCTAATATCCTAATTTGCTGCTCAAGAAACATGTCTTGTTATTGTCATTTGTCAATGTTGAAAACCTGATTTTTTTTGGATACTTTGATCAATAGAAAGTTTAAAAAGAAATGTTTTAAAAAATTTTCAGTTTTGATCAATGTAGTGCATACTTGCTGAATTGAGTAGTTTATATTTTAAAAATAAGGGTGTATTCACACCTGTCTTGTTTGGTTCGATTTAACTGAACTCAAGTTTGTTTCCCCTCTTGGTGCGGACCTTTTTGGCAGGTGTGAATACAGCAATCGCACTCGGGTGCAGACCAAACAACCGCACCGAGACCCAGCTGAAGAGGTGTTCTCGGTCCGCTTCCAAACGAACTCTGGTACGGTTAGTTTAAGGTGTGAATATGACCTGACCTCGATCCGACCCAATTGCAGAAATCACGCTCAGAAACAGACAGCTCGCGCATATAGTGCTGTTATTTGCGTTTCAATGGCTTAAATCACTTGTTTTTAAACCACAATGCTTAAAAACACATTTCATGACCATGGTGCACAGCAACGTGACGTGAGCGCGCTAAATAGGCTAAAGCTTGCCGCAAAAATTACCATGACTATGTTGAGGGAAAATAGTAAGGAGATAGAATTATGTATTAATATACTAGTGTTTTATGTGTCAGTGTCGCAATGAAGTTGATGATCCTGACTCGCCGTCTCATCATTGGACGCGCCTTTAGAAAGAAATGCATCTTTATTGATTACATAATGAGTTTTTGTTTTGGATTTGAATTATTTTGTTTTGTAGTCATTTAAAGCTTTCTATAGATATATTCATCATGTCTGTAAGGAAAATATTCGCTGAGTTTCGGTGCATTTTTGTGAAGCTCTCCTGTTCAAGACTGAGACGGCAAGCGCATCCTATTTTTTTATTTTTTTTTATTTTACAAAAGCGCAACGTTTTGTTGATATTGTGAGTGCACACAAATAAAAATAGACCTTTTACAGTTCCGAACGATGTATTATTCTTACCTTTATGAGCAAAAATGACGGCATATTTAATTTGCTTCCACTGATTTCCTGAAGCGCACTTCAGCTTCCACTCTCCGGACAAACAATTGGATATGCACCTAATAGCGCACATTTATCTAGGTTAAATGTTTAAAATAACATTGTGATATGCTTTAAGTATTTTATATCTATAGATTTTATTTTCGGCAAGTCGTAATTACAACATCGTATGACATTGTCTCATATGATGCTCATAAGTTTCTTCATATTGCGTTAATGCATCTTTATTGATTACATAATGAGTTTTTGTTTTGGATTTGAATTATTTTGTTTTGTAGTCATTTAAAGCTTTCTATAGATATATTCATCATGTCTGTAAGGAAAATATTCGCTGAGTTTCGGTGCATTTTTGTGAAGCTCTCCTGTTCAAGACTGAGACGGCAAGCGCATCCTATTTTTTTATTTTTTTTTATTTTACAAAAGCGCAACGTTTTGTTGATATTGTGAGTGCACACAAATAAAAATAGACCTTTTACAGTTCCGAACGATGTATTATTCTTACCTTTATGAGCAAAAATGACGGCATATTTAATTTGCTTCCACTGATTTCCTGAAGCGCACTTCAGCTTCCACTCTCCGGACAAACAATTGGATATGCACCTAATAGCGCACATTTATCTAGGTTAAATGTTTAAAATAACATTGTGATATGCTTTAAGTATTTTATATCTATAGATTTTATTTTCGGCAAGTCGTAATTACAACATCGTATGACATTGTCTCATATGATGCTCATAAGTTTCTTTATATTGCGTTAGTATCTGATAACACCAAATCAGTAAAAGAATAAAAATTGTTCTACAAAAGATGCCGGTGCGTTGTTCATTCAAAATATTGTGGAAAAAGAGAACATCAATGCGGAGAAGATCTTGTTTACATCAAAACTGAAACCAAGTCGTTCACACAGAATGCATATTTCATGCATTTTCTAGAGGGACATCTATCACCGCATCTCTTTGAGCATCTCGCACAAAGGAGCCGCATGTTTAGAAAGCCATGTAAAATTAATGCAAGTTCAACTTTGAAAAAAGCATATATCAAGACTTTATAGCGGGTTTTTCCCATCCCACTGCATCTCATGTTTTTAAATGAAAAATGTGCTCTGTGTGATTGGCTTTCCGCCCTTTGTATTAAACTATGCATACATACATGATGCTGTTTTGTTTATGGTTGTTTAAGCAGCTTAATTAATTATAATTGGTTTATAAACATTATTTTATACATTATGCACTTTTTTCACAGATAGTTGTTATCTTATGCTTTGAATAAACGTGCATTAGTAATTTTTTGCTCAGTGCGCCCTCATGGCCTCAGAAGAGAAGCCAAAAGCTATTCTTCCCCCTAACTGAAATTATGCATTTTAAATTCGAATATAATTTGAATTTTGATCATATTTAAGTACAAAATTCGAATTTAGTTTTTCAGCCATTTTGACAGCCCTAGTGTGAGTACACCCTAAGTATTTTATTGACAAATCTATGGTTTGGATTCTTGCACTCCCAGGCCCTGCAGGCATAATGGTCATTCACTGAATTACAGATACTAGATCGAAGTGCCAAAGCCCAAAGTGCCCCCCTATGATTGACTAATTGTGGCACCACGGGGTCTCCATCAGCTCAGCAGTATTGATCTTAGATGCTGTCGGCTCACTGTGGCCTTCTTTAAAAGTGATGTGAAGTCCTAAAAACTTGTGAATTCTGTTGTGGTAAATGATGCTCATGTTGGTTTCTAATGAGGAAGTGCTTATGTTTAAGCTATGGCTTTGGAAAACGCTTGTGGTTGTACATCTGGCCTTCACCGTTTTGTGAACTTTTGCTACCTTATTGCAAAGATACAGTTGAGAAAAGACAGGAAATATATGAGAGAAAGAGGTAGGAGAAGGGGTGTAACAGTGCACAAACATTGAGGGGGAAATCCAAAGAAAATTTTCTTTTTTTTGTTTTATTAAACACTGTTTTAGTGAGCTTGACTTGTAAGTGAGCTGTTATAATGAAGATGTTGTAAGTGAGGGAAGATATTTGAAGTGCTTCCACTTTTGGATGCAAAACATTAGCTAAATTTATATTTTAGTCAGAATTATTGCCCTTCCATTCTATTTTGTTCAATATGTTTGATGCATAAGTTAGGAGATTTGCTTTCTTTCAGGATAAGCCATTATGCAAAATGGAAATATGTTTATTATATATAATAGTTATAATAGTTTTATTTCTTTTTATCTATCTAGTCTATTTAATGGCTCTACAGTGCAGATGACTGTGTTGGCCTGCTTTTACCTCCTTTTATATGCAAGTCAACAAAATATGTGTTTGCTACTACATTTAAATTTAGGCATAATTTTTTAATATTAATTTGGCCATGCATGCTTTGTTTGGTAACCTGCTGCGAGCGTCCAGGCAAGTAACTGAATATTCATTAACTACTTCTCAACTTGACAACTAATTAGTTAAAAAGTTAAGCCTTCTGGGAGAACATCACGTAATAATTAATATTCATGATCAATGCCTCTGCAGTAATTGGCTAAAGGTATAAGACCACAATAATACATGAAGTTTGATGAGTACTACTACTGAATTTGGTATTGTGACACCTCAAATGTTGAATTGTCACATTGTCATTCACTTTTTTGCTGAATTGATAATGCATTATATCAAAAAAGGACCAAACAGTTTTAAACTGTCAATTTTGTCTATTTTGATACACATAGAAGCCTGCCATTATTAGCCACCAGCACTAAACAGGGTACTGAGAATGCAAATATGTTGGGGGGATTTTCCAGGTCTTGGATGATTCAGCAGCAAGCTTGACAAACAAGAGCGTGGAGGGGAGAAGAATGAGGGAAGGAGGAAAACGGGGAAAAAAAGTGAAGAGACCGAAAGAGACAAAGTGGCCCTGACAGCCTTGAGCTGCATGCACTTAGAAAGAGTCAAATGCACCCAGTGAGTGAGTGGGTGTGTGTGGGTGTCAATGTGTGTGCGCACAAGTGATGTGTTTGTGTGCATTTTACTGAATAACTCAAAGCAGAGTTTGAAGAGAGACTTGTACAAAACCATGCACAACCACCCCGTTAGCCGCACTCCACTGACCTTGAGAGTAGGCTGTTCAAAGAGAGAGATGGAAATAAAAATAAAAAAGTCAGAGATAAAGAAAAGCTCTTTTAAAAGAACATAGACAAAAAGCTTTACAAGCTATCCTTGATGCCACATAAAAACCGAGACTCCGTCTTGGATTAGTGGCACTTTCATTAGCGTCTTGTGTTCAGGGTTCCTCTCTACATAGTTCTACACTTTCACACGGCCTGTGTAGGATGGCGGCCTTAACCTTGATCAGTCCCTTTACAAAAACTAATATTTAACTCTCCCTCAAAGTAACATGGTCATTGCTGCTTTCGATTAGAATCTTATCCTCAAAATATATCTGGATAATTGAACATAATTTCAGTCAATTTATTGTAAAATGCTTTAAGACCCGAGGAAATCGAAGGGGAGTTTTGTTGTTTATAGCCCATGTATATTAGCTTTAAAGCTAACCTTTGTTAGTGTACTCCTAAAAACTGGCAAAATTAGCCTTGAGAAGATGAAATAGACAATATTCCTCTTTTGAGAACATAAAAATATTCTTGTGCTCTCAATGATTTTGTCCAATCAGCTGGTTCTTCTCTCAGTAACACCTGTAGCCGATTAGCGAGAAGCATATCATCACATGAATTGTGATTTAGCTTAAACCTATTGTTTTGTGTGTGTGTGTGTGTGTGTGTGTGTGTGTGTGCGTGCGTGTGCGTGTGTGTGTGTGTGTTTAAAGACATGGTGTGTTCAAATCCTCTTAGGAAGTAATTAAAAGTCTTAGTTACAACGTCAGGTGTGTTCAAGTCATTTGTTGGTGGAAGGCATTGATCTGTTAAAAATACATTTTAAAAATCTTAAAAAAGATTTTAAAACTTGGGCAAAATTGTGAATTAAGAATGTGTTCTTGCTTTGTTTTTATTCAGGTGCTATAAATTTAATTGATGTATGTCATAATGAAAATCTTGCCAAAATGATTTGAATGCACCCTTTAATATGTCACACATTAACATTAAAGTTTCAATAGGAAGTATGTCAACATAGGAAGGAAAACTGCATTCGTCAAACAATTTCATGGGGTCTCTGAACACTTTTGGTTGCATACAGTACCTAGCCTGCTGTCGCCGACTTTTAGCTTTAAAAAAAACAATAGAAAAATGTGTTTGTAATAATGCACTTACATTGGAGGTGTATTTGGAAAATGTACATAATTGCAGTGAGACCAGTCTTTAAATCAAGCAGGTCATAGTACTAAGAGCTATGATTTAAGAAGATGGATTTGATAGATAGATAGATAGATAGATAGATAGATTTTGCAACCACACATTGTTAATAATATTTAGTATACTGTAGAAATGTGCTAAATATTAGTATTTTGATGTCTTATTTAAAAGCCCAATATATTTTGCAACCACACATTGTATATTCTCAATTTCATCTGATCAATTCACACTTCTTTTTTCCCCCCATTTCTCTTATCTTACCAGAAGTCAGCCTCCAGAGAGGCTTTCACAATTTGTTTTGTACAGGGATGGCTTCAGTAAAAGCTTTTGGTTAAAACAATGCTGCACTGAGCTTGATCTGATCTTAAGTGTATCTTAAAGCTTTTGAAAATGTGAAGCTCAGTGATAATCTCTCCTATCTTCTTCTTTCTACAGACTCCGCAAAGATCTCTCACCAAGTAAATGTGCCAGGGGGTCTGGTGGTGGATATGGCCCCTAGTGGAGGGCCAGGAGGAGCCTTAGGGGCTTCTGCACTGGCCAACCTGCCTCCTCCCTACCAGCCTGTCAGCATCAGACCATTGGGGTCCTCCTCCAGTCTGGATGAGCCTCAGGACTACCTTTGGCTGCTCAACTGTGAGAGCAAGAAACCTGAGCCTAACAGGTAAGACACAACGTCTGGGGTATGTGTACATTGGCTATTTTAGTGCGTGGCTCATCCAATAATTTGTAATGTAGGCCTGCTACTGTTTTGAGTCTGTTGTTTTTAAATCAGCTGTTATATAATGTGAATACCGCCCACTCCTGCTAAGACACTTCAGGACATTCAGGTGCTATGGGTGAAGACCTGGATATATGGGGCTCATTTTATGTATTTTTGTGTGTGGTGTAGTCCAGTGGTTCCTCTTGCTCTAGGAGAGGAGGAGCAGGAATACCTGCTTCTGGAGGAGTGTGAGAGCAGGAGCACTCCTCCTGACTGTCAGTGAGTGAAGAGCATCAGTGTGAAGAATACAATACTAAACAACACACACACAACTGCCAAATACTGTTATTTTTACCTGAAAATCTGCACACTTATTATAACAACTTACTAAAATATTTATTCTACTCAGATTTGACTAAAATGTGTTGGTATGTTTTCTTGCCTTCAGTGCTTAAAGGGATACTCCACCCCAAATTGAAAATTTTGTCATTAATGACTTACCCCCATGTCGTTCCAAACCCGTAAAAGCTTCGTTCGTCTTCGGAACACATTTTTAAGATATTTTGGATGAAAACCGGGAGGCTTATGACTGTCACATTGACTGCCAAGTAAATTACACTGTCAAGGTCCAGAAAAGTATGAAAAGCATCGTCAGAATAGTCCATCTGCCATCAGTGGTTCAATCGTAACGTTATGAAGCGACGAGAATACTTTTTGTACGCGAAGAAAACAAAAATAACGACTTTATCTCCTCTGTGTCTCTCCGCATCACCGTAGTGCCATTTTGGAGAATATCCGCTGAACGCAAGCAGCGTACGCTCTTCTGTGTCAGCCGTGCCACATGGATGCGCTGTTTTCAAATCAAATCAAAGCATAAATGCACGAAGAAAACGTATCCTTGTGTCGCTGACATTGATTAATGACAACATTTTCATTTTGGGGTGGAGTATCCCTTTAATATTTTAATGTGTTAGACATATTTGCAGAAATCAAACAATGAGCAACAAAATACAATTTTCTACAGGAATTAAAAATGTAAATTTCTTTCTCAATGTTTTGCTATTTTGTAAGCCTCTCAATGTTGAATTCTACTGAAAACCAATAAAAGAAGTTTGTTGTGCATGTCTCTGTTGGTTTTCCCTACTCAGGACTACCTTTGGCTGCTCAACTGTGAGAGCAAGAAACCTGAGCCTAACAGGTAAGACACAACGTCTGGGGTATGTGTACATTGGCTATTTTAGTGCGTGGCTCATCCAATAATTTGTAATGTAGGCCTGCTACTGTTTTGAGTCTGTTGTTTTTAAATCAGCTGTTATATAATGTGAATACCGCCCACTCCTGCTAAGACACTTCAGGACATTCAGGTGCTATGGGTGAAGACCTGGATATATGGGGCTCATTTTATGTATTTTTGTGTGTGGTGTAGTCCAGTGGTTCCTCTTGCTCTAGGAGAGGAGGAGCAGGAATACCTGCTTCTGGAGGAGTGTGAGAGCAGGAGCACTCCTCCTGACTGTCAGTGAGTGAAGAGCATCAGTGTGAAGAATACAATACTAAACAACACACACACAACTGCCAAATACTGTTATTTTTACCTGAAAATCTGCACACTTATTATAACAACTTACTAAAATATTTATTCTACTCAGATTTGACTAAAATGTGTTGGTATGTTTTCTTGCCTTCAGTGCTTAAAGGGATACTCCACCCCAAATTGAAAATTTTGTCATTAATGACTTACCCCCATGTCGTTCCAAACCCGTAAAAGCTTCGTTCGTCTTCGGAACACATTTTTAAGATATTTTGGATGAAAACCGGGAGGCTTATGACTGTCACATTGACTGCCAAGTAAATTACACTGTCAAGGTCCAGAAAAGTATGAAAAGCATCGTCAGAATAGTCCATCTGCCATCAGTGGTTCAATCGTAACGTTATGAAGCGACGAGAATACTTTTTGTACGCGAAGAAAACAAAAATAACGACTTTATCTCCTCTGTGTCTCTCCGCATCACCGTAGTGCCATTTTGGAGAATATCCGCTGAACGCAAGCAGCGTACGCTCTTCTGTGTCAGCCGTGCCACATGGATGCGCTGTTTTCAAATCAAATCAAAGCATAAATGCACGAAGAAAACGTATCCTTGTGTCGCTGACATTGATTAATGACAACATTTTCATTTTGGGGTGGAGTATCCCTTTAAAAGAGTGTGTATGCATAGTTTGAACCAAGACTTCTGGTTCTTCTGTGAAATATGACGTGCATGGTTGTGTTTGGCACTAACCTTGCCAGTTCTAGTTGTATAGCGGGAAGCTTATTACACAGCTTTCAGGAATACTTGATAATGTTTGATTATTCATTGCCTACTATGGTCAAATATTGTGTAATGATGTTAAACTTTATTTGACCGTAGTCCCTGGCAACCAGTCTGCCGAACTCTACTTGTTTAATGTCCCCATTAAACTAGTAGTGTGTTGTCTCTTTGTTCGATCAAATCAATATTTTATGTCCTTTCATTTATAAAGGTGCAATCAGTAGTTAGCATAGTTATCATCGCTGTTCTTCATGTACTTTAATGTACAATCACGTATTGCAAAAGTTTTATGTAAATTACTCTGATGCTAGTGATGGTTTTTAACTTTGCACCAAACTACTGAATGCATCTTTAATTGCCAAGTTGCTGTGTAGTAAGTGATAATAAGATGATATAGTTGGCTGGTCAATATTGCAAAATAAACCACTTCAGGATTCAGTTATTATGCAGTAATGACCGACTGACATTATCTCTTGCCAGTTAATTAAAAATACAAAGACTATTTCATATTGCGATTTTCATAATGACATAAAGTAGCATGGTATGTGTTTGAAGGGGTGTTTTTGTCTTTGTATTGATGAGGAGCGAGTTTGTTTTAATATATTTAGCTGGTATTTGTTTGAGTTACTTAACTCATAACCTGTATCTCATGCATGGGCTTCTTTACAGGGCCCATGGCGAATGCTCCAAGTCTACCTCCTCCGAACCCGACTGTAATGACAACCTCCCTTCCCACCACACGCCCACCTCCTCCTCCTCCTCCAGGCACGCCTCGGTCAATGGTTTCTTTCCTACCCACCATGCCGCTGGGCTCTATGATTCTCCTCCTTCGCGCGGGCAGTCGTTGTCGGCCGACTCGCAGGGTCTTTACCACCTGCCCCGAAGTTACTCTCAGGACACTGTGCTGCTGCCAAAGTCGGCGTCCTCCCCTCCCGCTCCTGACGGTGAGCCCGGTGAACTCTATGTCTTTAACACGCCTGGTCGTAAACCCTCTTTAGAGGCCCAGTTGCGGAACTTGTCAGTTAGCTATGATATTCCACCTACACCTGGAAGTAACTGTACCTACCAGATTCCCCGTACTGCTGGGGTGGAGGCTGTTTCAGGGGCCACAGATGTGGTACCGCCCCCTCGTCCACCTAAGCCTTTACTGACCACGGGAACAGTTCCACCTGAGCGGTCACCCACGGACACGTATGTGGTGCCACGGTCAGTGTCTGAGACTGATGGGAATTACTGCATGCCATCTAGTACAGGAGGGAACAAAGCACTAAGGAGCAACACCATTGGTACAGTGGATTCTTCACGTCTACGTAAAGGTAGGTGGATATCAATTATCCAAGTCACCTGTGCTATTTCACCATCATTATGAAAGCAAAAGTTCAATAACAATACAAGCTCAAAATCTCTAGAAGTCTAAGTTGCCTAATGGTTTGGAATCTGAACTTCAACTTGTGCACTGCCTTTAATGTGCAATTTGAAAGGATGGTCTTCAATACCATTTGTCTACTGCAAGTCAGTTAACGTCACACACACACACATAAAAATATATATTATACAACGCAACTGTTGTCTAAAGGAATAGTTCACCTGAAAATTCTGTCATTAATTTGAAAGGTACCAAGAAGATTGACAAAATAGTCCATGTGACATCAGTAGTTCAACAGTAATTTTATGAAGCTACGAGAATAGTTTTTGAATACTTTACTCAATTCTGGTGCTAGAGTGACGCGGAGGAGAAGAATTGTTGAATGAAGTCATTATTTTACTTTTTTTTTTGTGCGCACAAAAAGTATTCTCGTAGCTTCATAAAATTAAGTTTGAACCACTGATGTCACGTGGACTATTTTAACAATGTCCTTACTAGAGCCCGACCGATATGGTTTTTTTGGGGCCGATACCGATACCGATATTAGGGGGTAAAAAAAGGCCGATACCGATATATCGGCCGATATTCTTTGTGTATATTATAGTACAGTACCAGTCAAAAGTTTGGACACTTTCCCATTCGTGTGTCCAAACATTTGACTGGTACTATATATAGAATACAGTATATACATAAACAGAATATATATACATAAACACATTTTTTGCAATGATGACTCAAATGTGGTGATCAAACACTTATAATGGTGACAGAGATATGTAAGGGCATTTAACAATTTAACAATAAACTTGCAACGAGTGCGATGCACAAAGTAACGGGGGTGTTAGTTGTAACACACGTGGTTTGAATATTTATTTTGCCATTTAAATTCTGGCTTAAGTAAATTTTTTATCTCAGTTTTTATTATTCATTTAAAATTAGACAAATCTGCTATTATTTTAATCTCCAATCTGTTATTTATCAGTTCAGATAGTTTTTTAATGCTTTGATTACTAGCAGAAGACACTAACCAGTTTTAAATTTCAGTTGCGCAGATGGGGCCCGTTGTAACACTGCATTACAATGTGCTATTCTATGACATTAGCGATGTAATTTACACTATTTACTTCCGAACCCCGGGGGCTATCAACGCGGGGGTGGTCTCATTCGAAAGAGAGCCTCGAGACATACACTCGATTCGCGTTCGAGAGGGTTCCTTGAACTGAAGAGATCCCCCGAATTTGGTGCGGATTCGCCGCGCCATTACGGAGATATGGCCGTTCAAAGTTTCAAAAATTTTCCATAGACTTAAGCTTTAAAGCGTTTCATCCAGGTCGCCAGTAGCAAACAATGGAGCGCGCTCTGCTGGACAAACTAAGTAATTACACCATTTCAAGCATTTTATCTGCATTATATGTTCTGTAAAAAAAAATTTAATATCGGCGGCATATTCGCCGATACCGATATATCGGCGACAGGCTCATATCGGCTGATAATATCGGCAAAACGATATATCGGTCGGGCTCTAGTCCTTACTACCTTTCTTTACTACCTTGCTGTCTATAGAGGGTCAGAAAGCCCTCGGATCTCATCAAAAATATCTTCATTTGTGCTCTGAAGATGAACGAAGGTCTTACAGGTTTGGAACGACGTGAGGGTGAGTAATTAATGACAGAATTTTCCTTTTTGGGTGAGCTATCCCTTTAACGTTGCTAATAAGACGTGTTTTTTAAGCAGTAAATGAGCATATTAAAATTATTTCTGATGGATCTTGTGAGACTAAAGACTATAGTAATGGCTGTTCAGCTTTTTTTCAGCTTAAAAATACTTACCATCCCCAAACTTCTGAACGGTAGTTTAAAATAATTATTTATATTATGAATAATTGAGACTGTGAGACATTGTAGTAATTACTACAGATTTTCAAGTGTCCATTCTGCCTATTTGACAGTTAGAACAAATTCTGTATAGTGGTCTGTAACAAAGCAGATAAAGGACTAATGTTCACATGGAATAATGGAAAGGGCATCATTGTCAATTTGGGCAAAAACCTAGCCTTTATTTATTTATTGTCAGATTATTTATTTGTTTTTCTTACAATTTGCCAGAATGCTTGAAATATATACTAAATTGTAACCCAATTTAGCATTTTTTACCATTCATGAGCAGGTACAGTATGAATGCTAATGTCAATATTGTGGACATATTTATTTTGAGATCCTAAATCCTGATTTTATTTGCTATTTCTTATTTTCTGGCAACTCATTCTTTCAATATATTTTCAATAAGAGGCCATCAAGCTGTTTGTTCTGCAACGATGGGGGTCATGTAGTCATGAGTTGGTCCCTCTAGTGTTGTTTGGTGGTATTGTAGTATTGAGATTGTTTATGTACATTCCCTTCTTCACAAATGCCTCCATAATAATACACAACTATATATAATTATAATAAATTAATGCATTGATACCGCAAGGATGGAATAAATTGTTTAAAAAATGACACTGTAGACTTATATACAGCAAGGATGCATTAAATTGATGAAAAGTGAAAGTAAAGATATACAGATTACAAAAAATATATATTTTAAATAAATGCTGTTCTTCTGAACTTTCTCAAGAAAGTCATGTGACACAAGACTGGAGAAATGGCTGCTGACAATTCAGTATTGCTAACACAGGAATAAATTACATTTTAAAATGCATTAAAAAAGTAATAATATTTCACAATATTACTGTTTTACTATAGTTTTAATGAAAATAAATGCAGCCTTTTTGAGCAGAAGAGAGATGGTTCTGTGACTTTTTCTTCTTTTGACTGCATTAATTTTTTTTTTATTTTACAGATTACGGATCTCAAGACTGCTATGATATACCCCGTCCCTTCCCCCCAGATAAAAGTTGCTCATTTGATTTTAATGAAAGCTTCAACAGCTATTTTGTAAGTTTTCCTGATTAATCAACTTCTATCAATCTATTTTAAAACTAGGTCCTGTCTTTCAAATGTCTTAAGAATCCCTAACAGTTTCTTCCCTGTTCTTCGATGCATGTAGAAGAATAAAGGCATGGTGCCAGTAGGAGGTGTTTCCACTGAGGAGATGGACGAGAACTATGTACCCATGAGCGTCCACTCTTCGTCACATCAGCGCTCTGGCAGCCTATCAGAACCCATCCAGGAGCCCAACTATGTGCCCATGACACCAGGCACAGTGGAGTTCTCCTCCCTCGGAAAACAGGTGCCCCCTCCAGCCCACATGGGCTTCCGCTCCAGCCCCAAGACCCCACCTCGTAGACCGGTGCACATGCCCGAATGCCAACCGCCGCCTGTTGACCGCAACCTCAAACCTGACCGTAAAGGTGAGCCCTGAGGTTTGTTTCTTCTTGTGGTGTGTGTGTGTGTGCGTATAAGGAGGGATCGTGTTAATGTGTACAGTGCTTGCATCTCTTCAGCATAGCAACTCTCATTACCACCTTTCTCACTAACAGGTGCCGGCCCATGCTTATGAAACATTTCTTCCACCTTTAATTGAGTTCTCAGTCTGCTTGTTGCCATGCGTTTATAACACGTATTACAGATCGTTCAACTCGCTTAGCAAACTAGTCTGCACTGCTGTATCAGTGACCTTTGCGTTTTAATCGTTAGCATGTGACCTCACACATAAAAGAAGCTATTGTCTATAGACACTGAGCCCTGGGTATGAGGGAGCCTGTCTGCGCCGTTAGCCTGGAGCAGTCACCTCTGTCCCCATTGTGCCTTAGTGAAAGACCTCTTTGATGGCCAGACCTGCGAGGGGAATTTCAATCTGGTCTGGGAGAAAAAGGGGACGTGCTGAAACTTGCACAAGCGGGCGAAACATCAGCAGCCAGCTTGGACAGCACTATTGATCTAAACATTAATGGCAGCAGCTCTCTGTGCTCATCCGAAACCATTGTGTATCTTCAATTACGTGTTACTGTTTCCGAGCACTGGCTAATGCAGGAGACAGCAGGTTACGTGCAGAGGAGATGCACCACTTGGCCATAACTGTGAGAACCCTGTATAATTTGGTGATTTCACTGACACTCATGACTAATCGTAGACAAATATGTGATACCGTTAAAGTATACATAATTACAAGCAACTAATCCTAAAACAAACCCTAACCCTATATGTGCATGTTGTAAATTAGTATTTCTCATTACTATTTGTGTAATTTCAGTGTAGCAAGAACACAAATAAAGTGTAACCTAGAATAAAATATTGTTCTGTAAGATATAAATTACTATAAAAACACATTGCCCAAATACATAGCTCGATGTGCATCAAAGTCATTTGACATTGCCTCAAGTCATGTGACTCAATAATTAGCTCAGACAATCAGACCATAAATCTGCCACATACATTTAATAAATGACTGCAACGGCAATTTGATTCTTGTGAAAAGATGGAAAGATGCTTTGTTTGCTAATTTTTCCATCATATTTCCTTGTTTTAGTAACACTTTAGAATAGGGAACACATAATTACTATTAACTAAAAGTTTTACCTCAATAAACTCCTAATTTGCTGCTTATTAACAGTTAATAAGGTAGTTGTTAAGTTTAGGAATTGGGATGAGTTAAGGGATCTAGAAAATGGTCATACAGAAGGCATTAGTATGTGCCTACAAGTACTAGTAAACAGCCAATATGCTAGTAATATGCACGCTAATAAGCAACTAGTTTATATTGAGAATTGTACCTTAAGGTGTCACCCCCATCCCCATAAGTAACTGGTGTGACATTCGGGTGTCCACATGATTTTGGCCAAGTAGTGCATGTAGGATACTGAAATAGGTATTCTTAAAAATAATTTTTCTATTTTCTAAACATGGGCCAAGCACAATACTAACTGTTTTCACATCATTGTCAAATGCCCAGTGTCCTTTCTACTGCTCTTCAGACCGCAGCTTATTGTATTTGTTGCGTATTTGCAAGCTTTTTCTGAACATGGAGTGATTCAAATGGCTTTGGTGGCATTTTATAGGCAGTTGTTGGGTACTTTGTGTCCTAGTGTGTTTGTCTTCTCTCTACGCTTTTATTGGCTGTTCTATATTAGTCTAAATATCAGTCTCTGTTCTGCCTGGTTTCTCTTTCTTCCTATATCAAACTTTTTACCTGAACAGTCTCCTACAGTCTTGGAAATCATTGTGATATTCTGCTCTTTTTTGTGTTTGACCGGTTGTTTAATTGTGGCCATCATCACTGTTGACTTGTGGTATTTTCTTGTGGCAGCTATATGCATACAGCAGAAAAAAACAAGTTGGTTTAATTTTTCTAATATTACAAAGACATTACTGAACCCTTCTGTCTGGCTGAGCCACATGCTGGCGTGTCGTCGGTTGGTGTGAATGCTTTACTCACCCACGTGTGTCTGTTTAACCCTGTGCATGTTCATCTTTGTGGGGAAGCCTTGTTCATCGCATGTCTTAAATGCATGAAGAGTTGTTGCCATGGCAGCAGCCCAACACATATTTGTTCGGCGAAAGAGAAGAGGCACGAGTGATGGAGGTGGCCGTGATTGTGCTAAATTGCATGGGTGTGAAGTTTAGAAGAAGACGAGGCCGATTTCTTTCAAAGGAGACATGTAACAAAGAAGTTTTCTCTCACCAATTCAGGTCAGAGCCCTAAAATAAACAGAGCAGTCGGTCTTGAGCGAACCGACTCCCAAACCATAGGTGAATTCTCAAGACGGCGTAAGGGTACGTACCTCGACAGAATGCTACTCTCACTGTCTGCCGCCTCAGTTCTGAGGTGTATTTTTGTGAAGGTTTGAACAAGCTCTAATTGTGAATGATACATTGAATACACTAATAGAACAAATCAAATTTCATTAAAAACTGGACCTCACTATGTTTGATTGATAGCTATCAAGACCTTGATAGAAGTGACTTATAAACTGAGAATATGGCTATTTTAACACAGCAAAGAATATGGTTCTAACTAGGGACCTTTTTGTATGTTACCTCTACTTTTATATTAAAGAGATAGTTCACTCAAAAATGAAAATGCGGTCATTAATTACTCGCCCTCAAGTCGAATTGAATTGAAATTGAACTGCAAGGTGATAAACCTATATTTACAGATTATATCAAGAGTACTACGAGATATCTTTTCGAGACATCTTTTCTTGAACAGCTGTATGAATGAACATGCCGAAAACTGCATCGTCATCAGCATTTCGTTTTCTTTACAACATATTAACAAAAAATATTGATGCGCATTCTTCATCATCATTATTATAAAAATATGGAGATAAGTTATCAGTCTAAAACAGGGCTTGTCATGCAGCGCTGTATGACTGATGTATCCGTTTAAATTAACTTTACTCCAAAAATATGAACTTGCCTGTTTAAAATACTTTTATATTTAACGTGTTCGTTTGTTGGTCTTTAAAATAAATATACTTTTGATTTTCACCGTTGACAGATTTTGCAGACCTTTTAGACTGATAACTTGTCACAGGACGCGCGGTCCTAATAGCGATGTATGACTGTTGTATTCGAATATATATGAACTAGCTGTTTTAAATATTTTTATATTTAACATGTTAGTTTTTTTTGTATGTTTGAAAGTATATTTTTTCGATTATTGGTGCTTCCATAGGCTCTCTCTCTCACACGTACGCATGGTTTAAAACACCAAATAGTTATGAAATAGCCTATAACAACTACAGAGTGTCTCTCTTGCCCCCACCCACCCATGCACGATAATATCGTGTATCGGTGATCTCACAGGCTGGCGATATGACGATATGAAAAATGACCATATCGCCCAACACTTCAAACCCGTAAGACCTTCGTTCATCTTCAGAACACAAATAAAGATATTTTTGATGAAATCCGAGAGCTTTCTGACCCTGCATAGACAGCAAGGGAGATACCACATTCAAGAGAAAACATCTGAGAAAGCTCTCGGATTTCATCAAAAATATCTTAATTTGTGTCCCGAAGATGAACGAAGGTCTCACAGGTTTGGAACGACATGAGGGTGAGTAATTAATGGCAAAATTTTCATTTTTGGCTGAACTATCCGTGTAGGTTTACCTTGCTGTCATCTAACTTCCATTTCCTTCCATTTTCATTATAAATTTATAAAATTCTAAATCATGTGTGTAAATGCATTCAAAATGACTGGTTTTAGTTTTTAGTATTTTAAGTTATTTGTTTAGAATTTGGAAAAATATCACACATAATTAATTAATTGATTGAATGAAAATGTATTAAATATTATACTTTTATAATTTATTTAGACAAAATGTATATCTAGACAAAATTTGAGTATTACTATCAGCCATTTATTGGTTATCGGCCATAACATGAAAATATGTGTATATATATATATATATATATATTTGCATCTCTAGTACTCATATTTTAGAGTGTTAAATATAGTTCTGTTTGCACATAGTTTGGTTATAAATTAAAGTGATAACCGCATTGTATACTCAAATTAACTTCTTTAAATGTCCTGGACTTATAACCATATATATTACTCAGCATTTACTTGAGTACCTGTTACACTGGTTACAGGCATTATTTACACATCTATAGAAAAGAGGGCTTCACTTTGCATATTCTTTCATACAGAGAGAGTATTCAAGCTACTTTGACACAATTCATCGTAAATATGGTTTCCCGGCCCAAACACTGACTGTGTGAACGTAGCCTATCATACAGACATTTACTACCTGCAATGTGTGGAGGAATTTGGCTTTCCACTCAAATATTTTAATAATTAAGTCACTGATGCCGTTGCCTATACATTGCTTTGTCTGTAGTGTGCACCGATTGCGGTCCTTGTGAAGGCGGTTGGATTTATTTCTTAAATGTTTGGTCAGCTGGTCATTAAGCAAATTAATTTGTGATAGATGAGGTTTTAAGGTTCTGGTAGAGTGATGCTTGTGCTTAACTGGTGGAGGGAAGCTAGCACACTTGATATCGCAGGTACTGTAAAACTAACTGATTAACATTTGACACTCAATCATCAGTGTCTCTACAAACACCTTTCACTGTCAAACTGCTCACTGACCCACGAGTCATAAACATTATAAACACTTAACCAACACTTTTGCATAAGCATTTTTGAGTCATATTGACAAGAGCTGAAAGTGGGCGGATGAATCGTATGACTAACAGTGTGAAGAGCAATCCAGGTGTCTGGATAAAATCTTGGGAGTTTCCTGATGCTGCTTTGTTTAATGGCATCAGGATATACCTGCCATCAGGAAGTCCAAAGATACACTGCTGTTCAAAAGTTTGGGGTCGGTAAGATTTTTTAAATGTTTTTTTGGGGGGGAAAGTCACAGAACCATCTCGCTTATGCTCACCAAGGCTGCATTTATTTGATCAAAAACACAATAAAAACAGTAATAACTGTTTTCTGTTTTAGCATATTTTAAAATCCTGAATTTTCAGCAGCCATTACTCCAGTCTTCAGTGTCACATGATCCTTCAGAAATAATTTCAATATGCTGATTTGGTGCTAAAAAAAAAAAAAAAAAAATTATCAGTGTTGAAAAAATTTGTGCTACTTAATAATATCAGGATTCTTTGATCAATAGAAAGTTCAAAAAAAATATTAATACAAACAGTTTAATGCATCTTTGCTAAATTAAAAAAAAAAAAAAAAAAACTCACTGACCCCAAACGGTTAAACATTAGTGTATCTCCCATCTGGGTGTCCAAATACCAAATTTAATAAAAAAAATAGAGAAATGTTGTGCTACATAACCTGCTCACCTGTGGATTGTCTGCAGTGAATGGGTGCCATCTGAATGAGAGTCCAAACAGCAGAAAAAAAAACATTACAAATGGGTTTATCAACTCTTTGGACTTCTGACGGCACCCATTCACTGCAGATGAAATGCGACCAGAGCAGTACAAAGATGGCTGGAAAAAAATAAACTGAAACATCAAAAATAAAGTAATACATTTTGTGATGCAATTTTTCCAAGAAGTGGTCATAATACCATATATTACAATATTATTTAGTAGAAACTCACTCAAGCCACATTTTGTGCCCAAAAAGTTCAGTTAGGGCCTTGAGATGCATATCCGTCTGTGCTTTCTTCCCTCACGCACTGGCACCAGCTGGTGTGCATTTCAGCCAGCTACAGCTACTTCTCAGTTGCCAGATTGGGCGTATCTCAGCTCAGCAGAGTTTTGAGCCAGATGCAATAACTAAATCAGATACTGCTTATATGTGAGAAGAGGAAGAGAGAGGATATGTGTGATTATCACTCATTTTTGACCTTCCTTTGGCAGTGACCAATCTTTTGAACCTTTCCAGTTTTCCCTCAGGTGTGATTTCAGTTCTCATGACTTGGTCCTGTATTTGATTTGAGTCGGTTCTTAAGTGGGGGAAAAAATAAGTGAAACATACTTGTCTCACTGAAGAAATGTTACTTGTTTACTTCTGACTCCCATTATTTTTCAAATAGCAGACATCGCCCTCTACTGGCTAAAAGCAGAGAACCACCATCTAAATTACATGCAAATTTGTGTGTAAATAAATATTTATAAATCTTAATGAATAATACTTTTTTTAATAATAACAGTTTATGTAGAAGTGTTTTTATGACTAATTTACACACAAATTTGTTCACGCCATTTTGTTGTCATTTATCATTTTTTAATATTATTACTTGTCTTGTTGATAATAACCATGTATTAGGCCAAACCTTTGGGTGGTGTTGTGTCATTCGGAAAATTTTTCTGCATTAAACTGCTGGGTTTTTTTGCAGTTAAGCCGGCCCCTTTGGAGATCAAGCCTCTAGCTGAGTGGGAGGAGTATACGGCGCCGGTCCGTTCCCCCGTGACCAGGTCCTTCACGAGGGAGTAAGTGTCGGGCATGTTTCCACTCAAACAGATCAGTATTTAAGCATGGTTCTGCATGGCCTCCACACCACAGACTCCACAGGCTAAATAACTAATCATTCGTGCATTCCTGTAGTCTTGTCCTAACATCCCATAATAGTAAAATGGTAGCGATGATAGTAAAACGTCGCCATAATTTATGTTCATAAGTGATTCGACTGTCATCACTACCTAACACCACATAATAACAAAAGCGGTAGTGATGACAGTGCAATAAAGGCATGAATTGTGTCCTTGAATTATTTATTGATTTAATACAGTGATGTAGGTGCCATGTGGCTCATGTGTCTGGAACGCTGGAAGTGTGTGTGAATCAGTGCCACTGAAGGTCTTTTTGACTGCCAGTGTGTTTTGGGTTTCCCATTATCAGCCAAAGACGTCCAGCTCAGACCTTGCATTAATCCAGACAGCGAGAGTTTGTGTTGCTGTTCTTTGTGTGTGTGTGTGTGTGTGTGTGTGTGTGTGTGTGTGTGTGTGTGTGTGTGTGTGTGTGTGTGTGTGTGTGTGTGTGTGTGTGTGTGTGTGTGTGTGTGTGTGTGTGTGTGTGTGTGTGTGTGTGTGTGTGTGTGTGTGTGTGTGTGTGTGTGTGTGTGTGTGTGTGTGTGTGTGTGTGTGTGTGTGTGTGTGTGTGTGTGTGTGTGTGTGTGTGTGTGTGTGTGTGTGTGTGTGTGTGTGTGTTTGTGTGTGTGAGCGGCAGTGTAACTACAGATGAACCAGTATGTAAAAAAACACCACAGCTACTGTTCCACTCAATTATAAATAATTCATGCATTCACAATTGGAATATGTGTTTATATGTATATAAAGTTAATTAATTTAACAGGTATAGATTATAGAAGTAATTTATTTACGCATACATTAATGACTGGACATTTGTAGTATTTTTGGAAAAAGTCTCTTATGCTTATCAAGGCTGCATTTATTTAATACAGTAAAAAACAGTAATATTGTGAAATTGTTTTGCAATTAGTAATCACAATTAAAAAATGTTTAATGTTTTAAATTTTTCAGCAGCCATTACGCCAGTCTTCAGTGTCTCATGATCCTTCAGAAATCATTCTAATATGGACAC